GCAGCATAGAATTCCCTGCTCAGGGCTCCGCGCACCTTACCGGATCAGGGTCATAAATTTTGCCGATTTTCCTAGAAATAATAAAAGGCGACACGGTTGATTTTCTGCGCCAGTGAACAACGGCGCAACCGGCATTGCCCGTTTCGTAGGATTCTCGAGGATTACGTTATACGCGAACAACGATCGCAACAATAACGTCCCGAGTGTCCTTTTACGTGTCTTTGATAAGCAAACGTACATCCTCAGTGTCCTTTCACTCGGCGACATTAGCGGCTGGCAAGTTTATTAAAAGAATATCGAAATAGTTGTTGCGTCAGTAAAGGAGCATATATCTGTATACATACCTGCTTACGTACCTTAAACGATATACGATTCGTTGTTCATGAAAGAAAAGTCTGTTAGAAATTGAAATTCAAATATATATAGGTATAGACTGCTATAGTATATAGCAATTATATATACGTGTACATACGTGGTTTCCTAGATTGCTTGGAAAAAGAGTGTAAAACTATAACAGCTTTGGACTCTTGCCTCATAAAAGTTATTCTATGTCGCTTACGTTCCCAGGATACGTGGGAAATGGATTTTCGGCGATATACTTGTTTTATCATAAAGATGATTTATGGACGGCGCCCAAGCCGATATTAAACGAGGATCGAAAACATTTGTTGCGTAGACGCGCCCAGGGCTTTTTATTGAAATACAAATGTTACGAATGTCATAGAGATAACGTAGGGACTGACTGCACCGTACAGCCGATACTTATGCATTTAGGTCGTTAGGTATAAAAATACTAAAATCAAAGCTGAGTAGGTTCGACTGGCAATTCTACTGGGAAAAGTGTAAATTTTTCTTTGCAAAATGAGACCAAAATTTATTTTCAAATTTTTACCTTAACATATTATTACGTATACTTGAAATATTATTACGATACTTACTTCACGCGACTAACAATCAATTGTATAAGCTCGTTCTCGTATCCACCCTGTTATTCGTAAATTCGCAATTTTTCCTCTAAATGCATATAAAAAACTGCATTTCACTTTCAACGCACGCAAAATCCTCGTACGCATTTACATAAAAAATTTTAAGTGCAATCGGTGCATAACTTACCACAGAATGCAACCGAGACCTAGAGTATAAATACAAGGTCAAATAGTCCAAAAGAATCGGCACTGGTGCAGAGTAAAAAAAGGAAATTAACAAGTCAAGCATAAAATCCTCGAAAGTAATAAAAACCGAGTTAAAAATGCAAAAGAATAATTTTGAATAATCCAAAGAAATGTGTGCACGTAAAATCGTGAAACTTTAATTAACATTCATATACGACTTCATGGAATAGAACAATATAATGATAAATAATAGTGTATAAAATTAAATTTCTTTTACAACCATATCTCCCAGTTAATTGCAGCTAAGAAAATTCCTTCGAAAAGTCTCACTGTAATAGCCGTCCCCTTATAAGCAGAGAAATAAGAAAAGAAGGTTCCGTCATCCACGTAACAAAAGGTACGTTCGACGTAGCTGGAAGGGTCGGTCACCCCAATCTCGAAAAGCACCTCAGGTAACTCGTCCCCCCTGTTTGTACGGCAGTACCTGTCCTGCCAGGACACCCCACGTCAGGACGAATGTCAGGAGGTCCTTTTGTCCTGGAAAATGTGCACAATACCCATTCAGCGTCGAGGCTACCCTCCTCCATTCTTGGCAGTTCCACGCACGGATTTCACTGGATTTTCTTTTTCCTTTTCTTTTTCTCTTTCACCGGCCGATCCTGCACGTAGGTATATCCTAACCTGGCAGCTAGTCGAGATTAAGGCTATGCCTTCCTTTTCTATATATACAGTCCCTTTCATTCCAGTTGCAAAGATCGTAGGTAAGTACCTATTTAGCTACAAGGTCTTAGTAAAAATGTCTCCTTAGATATCCTTGTAGAATAATACATTATTAGGATCGGACACAAGAACGTACGAAAGCGTTTATAAGGAAGTGGGGTGGACACGCATCGAAGCGTACCGAAATACTTTCTCAACCGACTGTCCGTCAGTCTGTATAAGGATATATTCTAGTAGCATAACTATAAATACGATTTTGGCTTGATCATAGACTGTATCTATAGATTCTATTTCTGAACTATATATATATATATAGCAAATAATAAATATACAGAGAGAAGCCCTCAAATTCAAAATTTCCATTCCTGATCCTTTGGTTGGTCCTGGTCCATGTTGTTGCTGAAAATTTTTGTCGCATTCAGGATTACACAAGCCAGGATAAAACGAAACTCCCGTCCCCAGAGACGAGTCGAGAGTGAAGGACGTCGCTCGTAGTCTCGTCGCTGCTTTGGCACAATTCCAAAATCTCGCTTGGGATGAAATCCAAAAACGTTGGAAAGAAAAAAAAGCCATAAAGGAAATGTGGAGAAAAAAGGAGGTAGAGGGGGAACGTTAAGCTCGACAACGCTACCACCACTGGTGGTAGGTGGCCTGGTGGCTTCCGTCGCGACGCCGTTCTCTATACGTCGACCATCTACGACGACTACGAAGACGACGTAGGACGCCTTTTCGACGACCGGGAGGAAGTGACGTGCAATGAGGATAACCATGACACTTCGTATTTTAGGAACGTGAACGTAGCAATGAGACAAGTATGTATATATATACATATTGTAATACGTAAGGGATGATTGTATACGTACACGTGCATACTTGTGAAATGGACACGTAAAAGGAAGAGAAATTTTGAAAACGAGGAATGCAAAAAAATGGCTACGAATGGAGAGTGGGGTGGGGGCCAAGGAAGACCGGAAGAGTGATAATAAAAAAATTAAAAGGCCGGGTTCTTAAAAAACGTAACATATTCTATATTTAACAAACATTTTTTCATGTTATATTTACAACTCTTTCCTTCTTCGTTCCTTAACATTGTGTCTTCGTTTTAACGTATCGTCTTGAGTATTTACAATGCAAATTACAATGCGACGTCGGACGGAGTGATCAGCAGGCCGAATTCCGTTGCAAACTTCCCACGGTCGTACGGAGTATCTCGTAGTCGATGGAAAATAAATTTTGAAAAAATAAACTTTTACAAAATATTTTGCAAATCTTCGTTTATACAGTGGTATCGAAGTGAAATTACGAGGGCAAAATAAAAGTTTACATAATTCTAAAAATATAATGACAATGTTAATTCGTACGAACGACTTCATAGCTACGAGACAATCCGTAGCGCATGCGCATTGGTACAGCGTGTAATACCAAAACGAGAATGCGAAGTTTGCAAATTCGCAAGGAGAACGTAATTGTGTCTTCGCTAAAGCGCATAAGCCCATTTTTAACCGCATACGTTTTTTTCTTTTTTTTTCTTTTTTATATATTCATCGCCACTACGAGATCGCGAATCAAAGAATTCGAAGTTTGCCTTTTCTCCATTTCTCTACTCGTCCTCCTATTCGAGAAACCGCTTTATTCCTGTGTAGCCAATATCTTTATTCTTCATTTCGTATTGCGTTAAGGTATAGTCTGTTTATGGTAAGTTAATACTTCCGAGCAATATATTAGTCGATTCTATGCCTCTATTATGTATAACAGTAACTGTTTTACGTATCTTTATCAAACGTCACGGATCGATCGAAAGATGTTCCATTAGCGAAGAAAATTCTCTGAACATTATCGAGAGTGTTGACGACTCGATCGGAATTTTTAATAGTCTACTTAAATCCAAAAGGATCATGTCTTTTTTTTTTTTTTGTGTTAATTAAAACATACGAAATTGTCGATCCCAGTGACGTCACAAATGGAACAAATGATCGAGGCGTCGATTACGTTTGTGTATAATAAATGAAAACTTGTTACTAGAGAAATTGAATGAGTGAGTCAAGAATATAACTGTAGGTGAGCCGAAGTGAGACAGAGAGGTGATGAAAGACAAAGAAAGACAGAGAGAGGTAGAGAGAAAGAGAGAGAGGAGACAGTGACAGAAAAGGAAAAAAGTACTTAGAACTAACATTTGGCATTTCATTCTGTTAATTAAACTATTTCTTAGGAAATTATCTAATTCGACAACATTGAAAAACGGTATCAGTAAGGTATGTGTAGGTATTTCCGGTATCGTACAAGAGAAATTGATCCACGCTGTCAATCGTAACCACGTGCCTCGGGGATTTATAAAAAGTTAAAATTAATTGAAAAAAAAAAAAAGAATAAAAATGAAAGCCAATTATAAAATACCAGATGCTCTCGAGCCACCGGCAAACCAAACGTGGAATTCGATGAGAAGGTATATGATAATCCTGTAAAATTTTGTGGTTCGCATAGAAACCACCTGTCGTCGGTTCGAATTTCTTAACCAGTTTTATATCGAATATCATCAATATGGCAGCCAGAGTGGTTTTGCCATATGGTGAGTTGGCCGTAGCGCTGTGGCGAAATGATGAAAAATTTGGAAAAGCTAATGGGATGTAAAATCCCCCAAAAAAGGTACTACGTACCGAGGCAGGTGTATTGATAAAAAATCGATAAGGTCATAGGTCATTCCGCCCTTTTAATACGCGTACGTGTAGGTGTCACGGTGTACGTTTATGCATGCACTTATATCACACAGGCTTTAATCGCCGGGCGCTCCCCCCCCCGCTCCTATCTCCCTCTAATGCGGCTGATGAATTCGGCGCGCTAAAAGACACTCCGTTCCAGAATTTTTTTTTTATATAAAAGTCTATAACAATGAACAATGAAAATAACCTAGCTACAATGGTTCTTCGTGTGTGGTTCGTTTCCGTTAGTTCTGTTTTTCTCTTCTCCTTCCTTCTCTTCCTCGATCTTCGTCTCATTGTACGTAGCAGCCACAAATGTTGACGCGGGTATGTTTTGCTTTTTTTTTTCCTTCTTCCCATTAGCGTACATCATGCTTATAGATAGCGTAGTCGTGCGTGGAGCGCGTTTCCAAAAAAAAAAAAAAAAAAAAAAAAAAAAAAAAAAAAAAAAAAAAAAAAAAAAAAGAAAAGACGAGAATATTCAAATTTTTTGTTCAACTAAAAAAAATTTTCTTTCACAAACTTCCCGCTCGTAGTAACCAAATAATGTTATGATGGGAAAAAAAAAGAAACAAAGATTAGAAAAAAAAAATTAAATTTTTTTGGTAATCGTCGTCTTTGAATTTTCGCGGGGAAACGAGCACCGCGCACGCGCGTAAGTTAGTCGCAATGAGATACAATAAATTTCCTCGACGAGTGCGAATCTACGCGCTTTCGTATCCGTGATACATTTTTTTTCTTAGGATTCCGCAACCCTCGGCTTTTATCGGCTATCGTGAAATTTGAATATCGCGCAGGGACGTCGGTTAACGACAGGATACAAATTTATGTTTCTCTCGTCGCGGATCACGGAGACTGTGGTAAGGGAGTTATAAGAAGGGCGAGAAAAGTGTAAGCTACGATTCGCCCTAAGATACAAGTCCAATCGTAGAGACTCGTAGAGACACGTTGGATATAACGGATTCGTGGATATAACGGATTTTGGATGGACAGTTGGATGGATGGATGGATGGATGCCGCGCGGACAATTCGTTACGTCATTTAATTAATTACAGCGTCTCTTCTGGTCCTTCTAAATCGCGAAACAAAATGTTATTTACAAACAGAAACTTAAAGACTCCCTATCGCGGCGCGCATGCGCATTAACCAACACGGCGACACAGCGCCTCTCGCGGATATCGTACAAAACTAATTGGTTTATTAGGAGGTACGTTACTTTGATAATAATATTAACTCACTTTACGTCTTTTAGTTGTAATGCGTTATTACGTCTTCGGAAGGGGACGTGTGTACCTCTCACCACGTGAAATCGGCTCGGTCGTCAATTCCTCGATTATTATAATTAAAGAAAAAAGTCTCCACAAGCTCTACGAATACAATTCGGTTCGTCCTACATATCCATAGTGTTCACGATGTTCACGGTTTACTGTCCATGGTATCCCCCTGTAACGTATAGGAAAATGGTATGGTACCTTCAACATCCTTTGCAATTTCCTTTATCAAGGATAATCGAAGGATCGACAAAAATCGCGTAGTGTCCTTCTCTGCGAGAATTATGACGATTAATAAGTCTGTGTAAACTACGTCATTTCTGATTGCATATATATTTTCTATACGCACTCACTAGGCAAATTCTCGTGTATATTACGAGTATATTGCATTTGAATTACCAATAAGAATTCTTTCGAAACTACACTGTACATCGTATTGCAACACTGCCCGTGTCATTTTATTATTTTATTCACAAATATATATATATACATATATATAGAGGGTTATTCACGACATGCGTGCCGCCTGAAGTTGACTTGCCTATTTAATTGCTATGGCAAAACCACCGTCAGATGGTTCACTTATTTTGAATAACCCTATATACGAAAACCGTAAAGACTCGTTTTTAATTAACGGTACACCAAAAGAATGTCCACGTCTTGATTAGCGGATTACCTCTGGTATAATATAATAAACTAAGAGAAAAAGAAAAAAAAAGAATCCTATTAAAATTCACTAATGTCCTAAAAATGTATCCTCCTCATCCAACAACACTCGTATACAGACACATCTCGTGACACTGAAGTCATGCCGGCGCAAGTCTCGTAAAGATTTTGCGCTGCTTACCGATACGTAACGACCGTCTTAATGAGGTGCACGAAAAACAAAAAACCCCAAGAGCAAAAAATAAAAGTAACCTTGAAAAAAAGGAAACAAACACGCACGCGAAGGAAACTCCCACAGTTCATCCAAGGCGAGTGGTATGGTACGAGAAAAAAAAATAATGACAACAATGATCAGTAAAAAAAAAAGGCTGATTCACATGTAAAAACCTCCAAGTTGAATTAAAAGTTCATGTAGGCATCTACCGAACTTTTTTTTTTTAATACATCCAGCGACGAGCGAATGAAAAATGCAAATGATGGTATTAGTATGTCCCCCCCTTCGCCCCGTCCCGCTACAACAACATGACCCTAACGAGGTGCATCCGGAATTGGGCCACTTGCCGAGCATCCGGTCCTAACGATAATTTTGATAATGGCAGTCATGACGTGCTCCTCGTAAAGCCCGTGTTCACAAGGTGGCCGCATGTGTTTTCCTTTTTTTGTCTCAAGTCCCTATACCACACAGCGCGATGTATACAACGTGCACGGAATTTCTTCGATTTTCGTTATCCCGTTCTACTTCTCAAGCCGAGTCTTCATATCGGCGAGTTACCGTGCACCAGGTATACAAGGGTCTAACGAGACACGCTCGGCGAAGTGCCGTTGACCAATAAGTAAGCAGCAATGCGCGTAGAGTCTTCGGAGCCAGCAGGCAAAGAAAAATAGTCCACATTCCAGTAACGCTTGAGCCCCCAACAAGCCTGAGCATCGAATCTACGTGGCCAGTTGTTTACACGAGTCGCATCAGCGCCGGACCGAATAGGAGTTTAAACTGGGTGGAAAAATAGTTAGGAAGCAGGTAATTCACGAGAATTCCTGCCTAATTCGAAAGTGCCTTCTCAACGAGTACCGCAAATGAATGCAAATTGCTCAGTTGTGTATACCAAGCGTCGCTGCGTTTTTACATCTCTAAAAGCCTCGTTAAGCTTGGGAACGCTCGTCTCTCTCTCTCTATCTCTCTCTCTCTCTCTATCTCTCTATCTATCTCTCTCGCTCTCACACTCAATCTCCATCTCGTTTTCTCTCTTTTTACGCTTTACCCTCCACAACAAGGACTTTTTCATCGCACTATACGTTAACCTGTAAAGATCAATTCTTCTTTACCGACGGAGAGACAATTTTGAGCTTATGAAAATCAATAACGCAGCTTACACGGAACGCACGCTAATGCTCATTGAGAATATTCCGGTGTCGCTTCTGGCACACGTGGAAAATCTCGATCGCCCGTTCTATTTGCGCCCGAATGTTTGAAGTTGCTATGAGAGAGGAGAGAAAAAAGAAGACAGTATCCGTCGTTGTACACTAATTATTTTTTTTCTACTTTTTTTTCGTTCCTATACATTCACGCTGTACGCTGTGCCTATGCCGCGTACCATGTGCGTACCAAGCGCGTTACTATTCCGCGTCGCGAGCGTCGGCTGGCGGAACGCGTGCGTTCGTTTCTCAGAAGAAGTCTGCAGATAGCCGTTATCAAGGCAGCCACGATGGCCGACCTGCCTGTCGGCCTAAACACCGAGATATCGGGGCATAGCGCACGAAACCATACTAGCCTAACCCGTAGGCCTCCTATATACGCTCGGTAACACGTCCCTACCTAAACTCTCTTGGCAACCATCTCCAGCTGTCTATCGGCCGTTACGAATTTCATTCCAAGTTCCCTCGAGCGAGAGCTTATGGTAATTTTTTTTCTTCAAGATTCTCCCGGTACCGTCGCTCCACTATATTAATACATCCTATAGTACATTCCGAGAAGGAAGGTTATATCCACGGATTCAAAATGACTTTCGATTAAATATTTGCAACCTGGTGAACGAGATGGATTTGACAAATGTAAAAAAAAAAAATTTTTTTTATAAAATTGTCATCGATTTTTTTGAGTTCGTCAACTTTTTGAGTGATTGATAACAATCTATTGGAATTCCACGTGGATACTTAGTTCCACTCGGAACGTCATTATTACTGTTCCCGGAGTTCCACTTTATCAGTCAATGGTGTCAAAGAGCCGTTCGTTCGTTCGATGCTCGGAATCGATCGTACGACAGATTATGTTCGTCGTCGCCGGCTTTAAGTTTCCTGCCTGAATTCGTTGCGATGTAAATCGATACCGGCTGGCCGCTCGGGCATGAAAATACATCTGACAACTTTTGTCATTGCATTATGAAACTGCCTATAGCTGTACTGCAGGCCGAACGATAACAGAATCTTTCTTTGGTTGGTTCGTGGAAAATTATCGCCCTTTCAAATAATATTTATCTCTTGCCAACGCGACTATATCCGAGCCACTTGACGCGTACCGACATCGTTTTCAATGCACACGATTAAACGCGAGTTTAAGGCTTCTACAGAAATTTGAAACTGCATCTGAGCTCGGAGTAACGGTGCATTGATAAAGATGTATACAATTTTTTTTTTTCTAACTTTAGGTCATTTCTCAATTTCTTTTTCTACGTCATTTCATAATTCTGTCTCGGACTCTGGACGATATAAAAACATTTAACAGCACAAGTTTCACGTTAAGAAGCAAACCAAAACTTTCTCGTCTCCTCATCTACGACCGTCCAATCCCCTGTCACCCCCCTTGCCACCCACTAAGCGCAGCCAGGACCAATTCGCCCGAGTTCTCACCCCGTCGTAAAGTTATAAAATTCCCAAACTTTTGTTTCTTTTCACGAAAAAAAAAAGTGGTGCAACAAAGAATCTACATACTGTTGCTATATGATATAGTAAACAAAAAATTATTTTCTCAACATTAACATTCTTTTTTCATTCGCACTAATTATTGGCGAAAATGAATTACCAAGGCACAGAAATATTTTCCCAATATAGGACTCCAAGCATACTACACGGTTTAAGCACACGTATGCACAGGCTGTCACGATCGTTCGTAGGACGACTTTCGAAACCACGAGAAACTGTTCCCAAGGTCCCCCACGTGGAAGTATTAAAGGCCACACTTTTACGTAGACAACGAAAAAAAGTCCGAACGGTATAACGTTGAAAAAAAAAAGTATCCCACGCCGTGAAATAATTATTTGCAAACCCGCCCTCAACTCCCCCTCTGTCCTCAAGAAAATTCAACGCGTCGTCAAAGCCATAGACTAAACACACACACGTAACCCGTTGACTCTCTGACACATTACGTACTGCCATTGTAATTTATTGTCACAATTATTATAGAATTGGGATAATTGCACTTTCGTGCGACAATGAATATACGAGTGACAGGTAGACGCTTGGAATTTTATATGTAATACCCTTCACCCTCTGAGCGCATCCCCAATACGAAAAGTTTTTCATGATAGCAGGAAAAATGTTATTCAACAGGTTATGTATTCTTAAAAGATATGATTCATGGAAATTTTTTATATTTCTCACTGACTATCTCGAATCATTATTTTTCCACGATTTAACCCCCTTAATCCAAACTATGAAAAATAATAATTTTCACAATAAGGATTCAAGAGAAATACACTCCCACGCGATGCATCAGAAGGTGTCGGTTCGCAAAAGGCACAAGGGCTGGTGAGCATCGACCTTGTACACTTTTCTATGTACGTGCATGGTGTGTTTGTGTGTGTGTGTATATATATATATATATATATATATATCTCCTTACTGGTGCCAAGGCACAGGCACAAGGAACACGTATATAAGGGGAGCCCAGGGTGGCAGACAATGAGTAACGGGTCTATAGTCAGGGGTTGAACGTGAGTCCGGGGAACCCCCGTATCTCCAATCGATTACAATAGCACCTAACCTAGGATGTGTATATATATATATAGAGAGAGAGAGAGAGAGAGAGATATATATATATATAGAGAGAGATATATATATATATAGAAGAGAGTCGTGCAAAGTTTCCTCCTTTTCTCGACCCTTCCTTCCCTTAGGTTGCCTGCCTGCCTCTATTCGGTTCGGTTCGACTCTACTCACACCCGCCGCCCCCCTCAAGGGTGGCTACGACCCTTCCCTAACGTAGCTCTACGCAGCCCTACATTCGCCCCCTGCCCACATAACCCTAGACTCTATATGCTCTCCGTCCCCCTCCTCCGCCGACCATCACATTCACATAGGCAAATGCAAGCAGAGGGAGAGCACCACCCTTATGGCTAGGATAGCTCTTGCCACCCTCGCAGCATCCGTGGCTTTGAATTTCGTATGAATTTGCCAGTAGGATTAATTCGACTATTTGTCAGTATACTGGAAGAACCTAGAGAGATATCCGTACGGTATGCGGATGACACTGTGAACGGGACTTAAGGATTTGATTGCGTATACAGCTTCTTGTGAATCGCCGTAAAAGTTTCTGCCAGATTGATCTTAAGGGTTGCGGAGGAGAGAGGGGGTGAATTTATATGTATATATTTTTTTAAAATTTATTTCGTTGGCATTACTTCGAAAGTGGTTGACATTGCTCGTTGAATTTTAGTGGGAAGATTAAAACTGCAAGAGTCGGAAAGGTTTTAAGCCGTGTCCACACTGACTCGGGTATACAGAGAAGAAGGTAGGTGGCAAAGGCGCGGGAGCACTTTGAAATCCGAGAAAAGTGAGATAGTCGTAGGACGAAGGGGGCCAAAAGGGCTGCTGGTAAGTTTTGAATGAAGAAACTTTCGGAAAACGACGCAGGGCCAACGCCGACGCTCTCCTTCGCTGCGACGCAACTTCCCGTCCGACGAATAATACACTGGCGCCACGTATCTTTCCCACGCAGATAAGAACTTTCGATTAAGTTTATTTATTACTACGAAACGTCTTATCTGGACATCCGTTAATTCCCTCCGTTTTGCTTCCCACATAGCCTTCTGCTACGGGATGTTTCATTGCTACTATTTTCTTTGTGTATTTTTGTTATTGTCGAGTTTACTGGAAAAGTCTAAATTACAGTCCTCCTAGATTTTCAATGCACAGCCAAGCAGATTTCCAAGTGACTCGATTGAACGAAAATTAACGTTGACGATTATACCAATTGTCAATTTTCTTGATTAAATCTTCAGTCCCCTAAGAGAGGCACGACTTTTCGTGGAATACCTTGTGAAAAATGCAATTGCAGCAACAAAGTTAACCGACCGAAGGAAAGTATCGAGCTGTGTACACCAAAAATCGTAGGTGGAGTTTTTTTGTATGGACCCGTATAAAAAGAAGGAGGCCTTAGGGGCCCTTTTTCTCGCGGCTTTGATATTCGAGGACGGAGTTTTATTTGTGCAAGACGCCTCTCGGGCACGGGTTTTGGCCTGGAGGCCGCCGGGTCTAGGTAGACAGTTGAAATTCAGGTTCCCGTGAGCTGGTCTGCTGCAAGCGAGCGGACCAAGCCTTTAGCCCTTCGTCGCTTCGGGCCGTCTCGGGAATGCTCGGGTACAGTCGCCTCGAAAAATTCTCCGAGGCCAACGAGCCGAACGGAACGCACTTTCCTTACGATTCCCGGAAAAGAAGGTAGGAGCCCCCTTTACGAAAAGGACTAAACACCGAGTCTCGTTACGATGCTAGATACGTTGTTGCATCAGCGATATATACGGACTTTTAAAATGTAAATAAACGAAAATCTAACCTCAAACTAACAGTGCTATCAGTCATATTGAATTTACCGTATTAATTCGTACAAGGGATATTTTACAGCCAGTCGTTCTTTGTCCTGAATTTTAGGAAAAGACAACGACGCAGCCGTGCGGACGTCGAGACGGCTGGGGTCTGGCGTTGCTTTTCGCAAGAGGTTCAACCTTGCCAAGTAAACTTTCGACTAGACCAGTAGGAGAAAAAAGCCTCTACGATCCTAAGGCTAGCTTCGATGAAGCGATAAATCTCCGCGAGAAATTTTAACCTAAGACCCCGATTCGAATAGCGCCAGATTTAAATAATCCTCATTACGTTAATTGTGACTATAGGTAATATAAAAGCCTAGCCAGGCTGCTGCGCATTCGAAATGCTCTGGCACTAACCAGGTCAATGCAGAGACTATAGTGTATTCATTTTTTCCCTCCCGCTGACGGAAGTCTCTTCGTTGCCGGAAATTCATGAAGAATACATGCATTATTCGTCGACAGTCATAGAGAATGATTCATAAAATTCTTAAATCGACCCAACAATACTTCCTAACGTTCATGTTACAATGCTGGTCGTTGCACGACCTACATACACAACACTGAACTTTGAGCGCACAGAATACAGGCACGTGAATTACCCTGTAGTCTGGAATTACAGTGTGACCAACGTGTAAGAATTGTACGAAATTGAAAATAAAAGTCTTACGGTGAAAATTTACAAATTTTCTAAGCTTTACTTTTTTTCGCAAGGTGTCTTACACAGAATTCGTGTATCTACTCGCTACGTCCATTCTGTCACTTATGGTAACTTTTCAGTTTGAACTTTCTCCTATACCGTACCATACCACAGTAGCTACAACAATACATACGTTACAGTACCTATCTGTTACCACAGGCATCCGCTAATTTTCCAACGTTTCCGGCGCGTGGATTGAGAATACAAAAAAAAAAAAAAATAGAAAATAAAAATGGCTCACGAACAACCTTGGAGTCGTTCGACAAGCAGCAGAAGCAAAGTGTGAAAATGGCGAGTCTCTTGGCGCCGATGTACGTGAAAGTTTCGAAAGTATCGGATTATATACATCGAGGTTCTAGCAGATAGGACACGCAAGAGATTCGTCGATCCTTCGTCCTTAGGATTTAAGAATACGAAAGGAACTCGAGGAACTCTGTTTTTTTTTAAATTTTTCTCTTTTCTCAAAGTTTCCTTTGCGAAAAACTTCGCTACGCTTACCGTGCGTGTCTTCCTCCGTATTATCCACGTCCTGGATATATTTTTTTAAAATTCGTCGAAACACGAAGAAGCGTCACTGTGGAAGCTTCTGATATTTTTTCAAAATTCCACGAAGAAGCACGATTGATCCTTTTGGTGCGACGAATGCTGCTTCGTAGTACGTATCCATGTGTATCCGGTTGGCACGTGCGCGTTGAAGGATCACAATGCGCAACCGGAAGTGATTTCAGAAAAAAAAAACGTTCACGGGAATAAAAAAAAATAATAAAATCGTATCGCGAAATGAGAAACATAACCAACAAACGTAGACCAAAAACTATAACAGAAGTAACACCGACAGGAACCAGAAGACCGATGATTAACGATCCCGGAAGTCCTTAGCAAACACATTCGATTTAATATCAATCGACTACAACCAGTCGAATCGATGATCACGCGCGTCTTTTGGTTTATCCATTATTTTTCTCCGATACGGAAAAGCACGAAGGATCCTGGATCCGGTATCGGAAATACGTAGGAATCGAAGAGATGGATCGACGAGGATAATATTATTTTCGTAAAGCTCCCAGGCAACCACGAAGAACACGTTCCCCATTTGAAATCGGTTCACTAGGATCGAGAGTAACGAGAACTCGACCTCACTTCCTGGTTCCGTGGTACCACGCTCCTTCCTGGTTCACTCCGAAATCGGACAAAGGAATTTGAAAAGTAACGTCTTTAAACACTAGAGTCTCTCGGAGAATGCCATCACCGCACGTGCCATAATCCAAGGTTCAGTATACTCAGCTGGGGTAGCTTCATGATCCTCTCGAGGCCGCTGGTCGTTATCCTGGTGCATCCGTAGAGATCGATGCACTTGAGGTGTTTCATGCTCTCGGCGATGGTATGAAGACCCTTGTCGGTGAGTCTGCTGCACTGCCCGATATTGAGGGTCTCGAGATCATGAAGAGTCTTGGCGATCTTGCAGATGCCCTCGTCGCTGACCTGGCACGCGGAGAGCGACAGGGACTTCAGGTTGAACAGACCCTGAGAGACGTGGACCAGAGCCTGATCGCCAATTTTGTCGCAGAAGGAAACGTCCAGCGAGGCTATCCTGCTGCCGCCTTCCGCCAGGTAGGCCATCCCGATGTCCGATATGTTGTCGCAGGACCTCAGGTTCAGTTCCCGCAGACTTGGCATCTTGGCCAGGTGCTTCAGGCCTGAGTCCGTTATGGAGACGCAGAACGAGAGGTTGATGGACTTGAGCGTCGACAGGCCAGCGGACACGTGCCTGAGGGCCTCGTCGCTCAGCCTCTGACAGTCCTGAAGTCCAAGATGCTCCAGCGCGAGGTTCCCGTCGGCGGTTTCCCGGTTGAGTCCGGCCAGATGAGCGATCCCCTGATCCGATATATGCCAGCAGCTCCTCAGGTCGAGTTTCTTCAATTTCTGAAGTCCCCAGGCGATCAGCAGCAGCCCCGTGTTGGTGATGTTGCAGCAGCCACCCAGCTCGAGCACCTCGAGATTCTTCAGATACTGGGCTATCCTGCCCAAGGACGCGTCGGTCACCTGCTTGCAGAGCGACAGATTCAGTTCGGTGAGCGATGGGAATTCCTGGTACAGGGCATTCGTGAGCCCGGAGTCTGTGATGTTGTAGCATCCGGACAGGTTGAGAGCCTCGAGGTTCGGGACGCCCTTTATCACGTCCCCGAGTCCTCTTCTGAGCGACAATACCTGCACCCTCTTGACGCCCCGTCTGACCAGGCTGGCGAACAGGGCCGGCGCCTGCTTGCGAAGATGAAGTCTCGCCTCGACGCCCCGCCAGACCGACCTGTGATACGCGGCGTCCCTCCACGCGGCGCACACCTGTGCCGCGCGACCCTTGTCCCGCACGTCGAGGTAGCTGAAGATCAGAGCAAGGATCTCCGGATAGAGGCTGGAGATGTGGGTGCTCGCCGGCGACGTGCCGCCCCTCGGCAAGGGCGGCAGGTGCCGCGATATACCCTGTATGTAGCTCGAGAGGTTGGTCGTAGCTCCTGTCGAGTAGTGCGGTGCGCTCGCTGGGACGTGAGCTACGGTTTGGCTGTGCGGCGTCGATATCGCCAGGTGCGGCTGGTGCAGGTGGTAATAGTGACCTGGTCGATGTATCAGGGTCGTACCGCGTGTTGACGGCAGCGCCGGAAGTTCCGTCATCAACAGCTGACTCTCCTCCATGTCGAGGCGACCACTAGGTACACGAGGCGACGTCGCAACGGTTTCCGGGCATAATAGACGGGCCACGATGACGGCTCCTTGAGGCTTCGAGAACTTTACGTCTCACCCCACCCCACCCCACCCCCGCACTGCTGCGACCCGCTGACGTCACTGATCTTCCAATTATTTTATCCACCTCTGACCTCCCGCCGGACGACCGTGGAGAGCGGTCACGCTCTCACCGATTGTCCTTCCTAGATCGATACTTGGATCGTTTCCTTCGCATCGGAACGAGACCTTTTATTCCTACACGGGCCTCGTTCTTTGATTTTCTCCAATTTCTAGCCCTCGGCGATTACGCTGTCGACAGTTCACAAAACTCCACGTCACGCACTGCCGTGCATCGAACTAGCCACACCGAGTATATATATCCAGACTCAAGATCATTCTCCTAGCCACAGGAATTCACACTCTGACCTCCGTTCACCTCACTTCTACAATCCTTGTCTCTCTTGCTGGCTTCGATCTCTTCAATTTTATTCCATTAGTCACAAATTCTCACCAGATAGTAAACATCCTGACTGTTCACCTTTCTGTACGGCCATGCGTCATCCTTTTCAAACTCGTCACGCTAACCGAACACGGAATAAAACATCCCTCCTGCCTATTCACCTTCACAGCGAACGAGAAACAATAAGGAAATCACTTCAGTCCCGTAGGCTCGCTTTATCGTTGGCTTCGTTACTTAAGCTCAGGGAATAAGTAAACGGCAAAAGTGAAAATAAACGCGCGAACGAAAGGCCGAAAGAGTAACGCCGCGTAACACCAAAGTATAACGGAAACACCGAGCGACAGTAAATGTCTTCCACGTGGATGTGGTACTACCGAACAAGTTCAACCTTGCGCGTATCGTGCGGTCACTCGTAGAACGCGATGAGCGACATGGCACCGAAGTGAACGGGTGCGCTTCCAGTCGCGGACTGCGTTCCAGTTCAAAGTTGGATGCCGCGCGCGAGCCGGGCCGTGGGGCGTAACGGGGGGTAAGGGCGGAGACAAAGTCGGCCGTGCGACGCTATTATTGGTAGAAGCGTCTCGAGGCCGAACCACGTGACTCAGCCGACGGATATCGATTCGGGTTGCGCTGCGGCGGCATTTTTAAGTTTTCGCTCGGGGGGGCGGGGCCACGTTCTCTACACCACGCTGTGGCCCCCCCGGCACAAGGCGGCTCTCCTCCTATACATACCTTCCTCGATCGTGCTTCGATAACGTCGATTGATTTTTCTTTTTTTTTTTTATATATATATATTTTTCCTCTTATACTTTTCTTACTACTACTACTGCTGCTGCTGCTACCGCTACTGCTATTTCTTTTTTCATTTCTTACGTATATATATATATATATCTATATATATAGTATATATAGTATAAATACTCAAGCACTACATAGCACAGTACTTACAATTAGTTCAGGTTAATTTTACATTGCATAGCATGTACCCTACGGAATCATTTTTTATTTTTATTAAACCTATATATATATATATGATTTCCGGTATCAGATGACCCAAGAACGTCCACGTTTTACACATGCCGATAGCTATAATCACTTTTCCAAGTCTCTGTTCAAATATAATTTTTTTTTCCTATATCTAAATTTTATGTTTCTGGCACATCTTTTTATCTAACTTACATTGTGACTTATCTCAAATAAGTATACACGATCAGATCATACGGACTGTGTGCTATATTGAATTATGTTAATTTTTGCCACCCTGTATATGTATATATGCCTGTGTCTGCTATCAATCGTTCAAGCTACTTTTCTGAAACGATAGAATCTTTATTACGTATCTACGATTTGACCTGATAGAAGAACGAAATTCGAATGAATTTTCCAAACCGCGCACTCGTTACCGCGGCTACTTCATTCGGTAAAACTTTTTATCAGCCGCGCGAGTCCACGATGCGTCTATCCTGTGTATTGCCAAGGCAACGTCCTGGAACTCCGAAAGATGCTTCACGAAATTGCCGTTTAAGGAGAAACGCGACGCGGGACTTCGTCGCGGATCGATAGACGTTTAAGGAATACAACGAGCGAGTAAATTGAAATGGAATTACGAACCTGCAACATCGTCCTATTATACATATATATATTATACATATCAATATATACATATTGGTAGAAATTGCTAGTCCAACGGAAAAAAAGACGAATTCCCAAATCCTGTTAAAATCCTTAAACATATATTTAAAAAACCCCACACCCTACTGGTCCCTTAAAAAAAAAAGGTAAAAAATGTAAAATAAAAATAAAATAAAATTCCTAAAAATATTTTACAATAGCCGAAATTTGATTATGCTGTAGTCATTGAAAACAATATCAGATAGATCCTACAATACCTAATGTAAAGGATCAGCAATGTCGAGTCCCTATAAGCATCCTATAAACCGCCTATCTGAATGTAATCATAGAGGTAGGTACTGTTTACAGTCACTAGCCCAGCTGGCGTCCTTGGAAGTCTCGCTGGTGGCTTGAAACATGAAAATCGAAGTCAACAAAGGTATATAACGCAATGTATGCAAAAGGGCCTAAGAAACGACTAGACGATCCACCCGGATTAGCCGTTGGACGTTGATTCATAGAGAATTCCAAGGAGTCTGCAATTTCGGTGCTCAGTGGTGCATACGGTTCACGGAACAGTCGCCCGTCTTAATCCTCTTACTAATCCACGGCCGGTAGCTGTGGCTACGAGGTAGCGAAGCCAGGGGAAGATACGTCATTGAAAAAAAAAAAAATGGAATATAAGGGGATGACATGCGTCATAGCGATAAGATAAGAGAAAGGGGCGGGGGAGGAAGGAAAAGAAAAATAATGCCTGGGTTATCAAAAAATTATTTGAAAAAAATATGGAAAAAAATTTTGAAAAAAATTATGATACGCGTGTGACCTAGGCTTAAGCCTAACAGTGGCGCGCCAACTCGGTGCTAGCGTCACGTAGGATATGAAAATGCATATTATAATAACCGGGGTTTGCATACCGGGTGGCTCAATGAAATTTTGAAAGTATACGATACGTATTAGGTTACGGGATGAGATAAGAGAAACTGAAAGGAAAAAAAAGGATATAATAAAAATAAGTCACGTGACTATATGTAGGGCCTTGGTGGGCCTTATATATATATATATATATATTTTTATCCTACTCTAGATTTTGGGTCCTACAGGTATATCTAAGCACGTTTCAGGCTGTGTCAGTTTTGTTTCGCCCAGCAGGGACGTACGTATAATTGAAACGACTCTATTCGTAGATCGACCTGCTGTCGTTGACTGACCCTCTCCTTCTCTCTCTCTCACTCACTCACTCCATCCTTCCATTCGTGCGTATCGGTGGGAGAGAGAGAGAGAGAGAGAAGTTGCGAGTGAAAAAAAAATTACGTCGATCTTCTTTGGTATCAGTCGGTATAGCAGATCTGCTCTACGGAAACGTATATGTAGAACGTAGAGGCAGCCATACAGCAACAGCTTACGGAGCAAATGATTAATTTCATATATCTACCACCCGTGGACTTTTGTCCTTTTTTTTCTATTTTAGTTTTTACACAACCCACTGTGTCACTCTTGTGATAAATCGTACAGGTTATCTATTATATGGGTCGATACAGGTGTCGATACTGAGACGACCTTCGTTGTCATAAGTTTTATTGGACACAGGTTATGTATAGTTAATACAGATGGTGGTGGAGTAATGTTTTTGAACGTGTTTACATAATTTGAAATACTTTGACTGGATCGCAGGTGTTTTGATAATTTATATAAAAATAGAGAAAAAAAAATTTTTTATTAAAAAAATTGTTTAATTGTAATTTCTGGTATGGAATATTAGGCAGCTGGCTATCTGACCATTCCTCGAGCACTGCGTGTCTTTAAAGAAATTTGCGAGCTACTTTATTTTCCTTCTTTGCGTTTTAACCTCCTCGAGGCTCAAGATGACTTCCTAGATAAGATCCTCGCGTTTGCTCGTACGAGTCGCTGTCGAGTTTCATGCTGCGAACGTTTCACGGTGGGCTACGTATTGCCAGCCCTGATGGCGGCCTTATCATTCCCGGGGAGATACCTTATCACACGCCTCGCGCTGACCGACCCATCCTTTCTCTTCGTATTATTGCATACCGTGCTTCGTTTTCTTTTTGTTCTTCATTACCTTCGTTCTCTTGCGGTTTATTCCGACCTAAATAGTCTGCTTGCTTATTTTCTGCACGACCCGATAGAAACTCAACGGAAATATTCTTGGGTAACGAATAGAGATCATCTTTAATTTTGAGACTACAGAAAGCGTTGAAAATTTATTACATTACGATGTAAGGCGTTAATGATAATGAATAATTCGAAATTTTTAAAATTTTCTGTAAGGTTTTCGAGACGATTGGAGAATTTTTTTTTAAATAAAGTGAAAGTTGTATGCTTTATAATTTTCATGAAGACAGGTTTCTTATTTTTAAGAAATTTGACCGTGCTGCCATCTAGTGAGATTATTTGAAGGTTGGATAAGTACGTTTCTACCTTACCAACACGGTAGTAACGCAGACAACACACGTGTCCAACAGTCATCTTTAAGATGCCTTGAAGACAACTTCTATGCCGTTAGACGTCTTAAAGACGACCTTTGGATATTGTTTGTTTTCTGGGTATCAGCTTACCTCAAGTTTCCGCAAGATGACGCTAGTGAGAGACCATGTTTACCGACGCACGAAAAATTACATTTACATAAAAAAAAGAGTATTTTTAGAGTCAGTTCCACCATAGTCAATCGAGCTTTAATTGTCGAGAATAGCCAATCAGATGCCCGTATTCATGGAAATTTCGGTTCTATTTGGCTAATCTCACTAGTTAAACCTCGGTTAGCTTTAACGTAACCGGCCCACGATCACCAGTCAGTAGCAAGTGGTAAAATTCTGGAAGAATGAAGTACCCTGTTTCTAGTATTTATGCAAGACTTTTCCTGTGTTCGAAGGAACTTTTTCCACTGACAAGAAGAAAAACCCTAAGGCTTCTAATTGCGAATTTAATAAAGCATCATGGCGGACATACCTTTGCTTTGAAATTTCTTTGAAGCGCACAAGCAGTCCAGAATGTTTGGGAAATGCTGAAAGCCTTTGAGATTTTGTGTTGCCTTTGTTTGCCGAGCTTATCTCGTAGACGCCGAAAGAATGACACTGAAACGAAAGAAAAACATTTGAAAGGTTTATAAAAAAAAAAAAGATTTTTAACTTCAAACAATTCGTCGTACACTACAATAAAATTATACGTTTTTTAATATTTCTGTTATGAATAAACCATTTTCCAGTAATAGTCTTATTGACCATCACTATATCGATATTGTGTCATTATTGCCAATTTATTGAAGCACTATGAATATTTTATACATTTACAAAATTCTACGATCCCCATGTCTACATACTCGTTACCCACTATGGGGTTGCGTAACGGATATGATTTGTAATCATTGATTAAATTTTCCCATTCAGAATATAAAATCTACTGCAAGCAGGTAACGGTACGTTAATGCTAGGTTAATATTCGCTATGGCGAATTTCGTCTCTCGACATTCATACGAAATACAATAATAAATTATAATTGCTGGTGCAATTCGCATAACGATCTTACTATATATTTATACATTTGCACATTTACGTGGAAACCAAACGAGTATTGCCATGCATTATTGTTAGTAGAATGATATTCCTATAATGATCAGTTATTATTTATACACCCTGTAGTGTCCTAAAAGATTTTTCACACTGTTCGAAAGATTTCTCATTCTAGTTTTGCACCAATTAATTGAATTCGAATATACGTATACGATCAAAAAACAATATTCGAATTACAATATAATTAATAGAATTTTTATAATTTTACTCTAACGTTAATTTTTGATAAACAATTAATTATGTTAATTGTAATTTCATGTTGTGTATAATGTAAAATCTGAAAATAAACTAGAAGGAAAATCCAAAGACACGTACTTCCATAGCACTCTGTAATTTTTGCGATTCCCCCAGCTTTTTAATGGATCAGACTAATATTACTTATTCCCGATAAAATCGGAACGCAGCCTCGGTCGGTAATTCGATCTACTTGGGCTTATTTGATAACAAATTCCTATAAGATGTCTACTCTGTTATCTTCAGGGATATTTTTGTTTCTCGATAAAGTCGATATCTACTTCATACATATATCTAGCTAGATTGTCGACCAGGAAGAGTTCTACCTTACCGACGCCCTTACGGTACCTTTGCTCTATGAACCAAGAACATCCAGCGTTCGATAATTACATTTGACTTATAATAGGACGTTATGAGAACCTCGCAACAATATCGGAACTCGTGTTATACGGCGAGTAATTACAGTCTAGTGAAATTCGATGAAATTGCCAAAACGGATAGTGAAATATTCGCAACGATAATTGCCGAGTGATTGTCATTAAAGACCGGTTATTACAGCTCGAAACGGAAGGAAAACGTTGGTATCTGCTTAATGGCAGTTTGCCCTGAGGATTAAAAAGATTTTGTTTGACATTACGAAGTTACGGAATTCCATTCTAGGAATCGTCTTTACCGATCGCGTAAGAAATTACAAATGTTGACTATGTTATGATTTTCCATGAAAACAATTGTCTTCCTTATTCGTTATGTACAACGAGATTATACGTAAATAACTTAAATGACATTAACCTATTTGTTTATTTGACGCTAGGCGTATTGTAAATCTCTGTTTTAAAATTTCAACCAAACAAACTCTATTTTCCATTTGACCTCTCTTAAATCTGTCGAATGGTAATTTTAGGTAGACTGTACCCCGAAGGGGCACCTGGCCCCTAAACACGGACTGCACAATACGTGATGATAGGGCCCATTGTGGGGTCTTCGAAGGGCCACTATAGGCCTAATATAATTCAAATTACACAGGAAATGGCTGCCGTCTGGCAAACCCCACCACCCTGGAGAAATGATTTGACGAAGAAAAAAAAAAAGGGACAGAAGGTAGAAGAGTCCAAAGGTAAAACGAAAGTAGATAAAGAAAAGGGAAGTGGGGCGAACCTCTTCCCCTCGTAAGAAAAAAAAAAAAAAAAAAAAAAAAAAAAAAAAAACAAATCACAACGTAAAGAATGCCACTTGCAGTCGGGGGTGAGAAAAACAAAATTCCCTCGCGGACACAGATTTCGAGGAAGGAATAAAAACATACTATCAATAAGTATACAAGAGGACGCCGAGGACCGCGGTCAGGAGGCAGCACAATGTCTTGATATTAATTAGCTTCCATGGTGGACCTGATTGAAATTGATGATCCGCAGTTAGGGGTAAAAATACAAATAAATCCCTCCCCCCTTTAATCAAGCCCTCCTCTAGGAGTCCTTGCTTAATGAAAACGAAATGCATTCCAGCCACGGCGAGATTAATGCTGCTTTGTAACATTTAAATCACCGGGTATTAATTATCCGTTCGCCAGATTAGCCTTTATCTCGTTTAAGGGTCCCAGAGAATAATCAAGTCCCGAATTTCAAGAGCCACGCATTCTACGTAAACATGACACTTTGTCATCGTTCCCTGCATATGACCCCTACGAAAATTCCATTCTCTCTCTCAAAAAAAAAAAAATTACCCCTATTAAATTTTAGGTTACGAAATCCAATTTTAACCATTTGACCAAAAATGACCTGTGCAACACCGAAAAAAAAGTCAGCCCGACAAGCTTCGCATGCCGTGCAGGAAGTTTTCTTGGTAAAGTAAATATTTCACCGTTAAACATGGCCGACAAAGCCGTCCGAGCGTAAACAGAGGAAAAAATTGCAAAAGCAGTGTGCACTGGAACGACAAAGACGCGAACGGAAAAATTTGAAAAAAAAAATGTTCAATACCTTGACAAAACCCGTCATATTGGTAAGATCTAGTAGAACCAAAGCTATTATAGTTTTACAATGGACTGTACAACAAGCAACCCTTTTGTCCTAGTCGTCTTGACGCAGGCAAAATGCTCTCTCTGTCTCTCTCCCTCATGAGACTAACCTCTAACCTACCCTCGTAACAACACCCTTCGAAATTAGTCTCCTCGCCACTGGATTTTTTATTATACTACATAACACTTTGCGACGCAGACCTACCCCTTCGCGCGGTCAAGTTACGTGTTCACGCTTTTTTTCTTCACTCTACAAGTATTTTTCACCAAAACTACTAGTGCTTAAAGCAGCGCCCATTCTTCCAGCCTGCAAAGTATCCACTTTATACCTTGTGAAGGACACGAGGGATGGCGAACGCTTCCTTCATCGTAAACAGGTTAAGTTTTTTTTTTTTTTTTTTTTTTTTTTTTAAGTACTTTTCTCATACTTTTGTTACTAGGCCACCAAAGTGCGTACTCTACTCGGACGTCGTCATTGTCACCATGAAAAAGTCCCCCGGCCTCCTAGTAACTTTTGATATATATACCTAGATAAGTAGGTGCTTAGTATACATATGTCGTATATATATACACATATGTGCATGCATGAGTATGATTTTTTCAAGCTTCTCATATTCGCATAGGAAACTTGACAAAACTCAATGGTCGAGACTTTTTCAAGTAGCAGGACGCAGCTGGCAGTCTTGTTGCGTATCCGCCATTTAAGTAGCTACGGTGTCGCGTTATAAATAGATTTGCTTGTTTTTTCCTTTTTTTTAAAAAAAAAAAGCTTTTCAAACTTCCTTCGAGATTTCGTAGCGCCTATGGATTAGTTGGGTAACAGGTTGGCTTGTGAGAATCGTCAAGAAAGGGACCAAAAGAGACGGTTGGTACCCGCCGATCCATAGGGTCTTCATGGTGGGTCTTAGGGACTTTTGAAAAATCCCCAGAACTAATTACCAGTCAGATACTATAAACAAAATTGTCGAACCGTGACGTTACTGAACGGTGAAGAATTCGCAGGTTGCGATTCGTAACGCCAGACTGCCCCCATCCCCCCACCCATCCACCCCCCCTAGGAGAAAAGAGATAATTCACCAAAGGTGGACTATTTTAACGACGGTCTTACCACGCTAGAGGTATTTAAATTTTAACCCAACAAGATACTATAGTTAGATTTTTCTTTCGTTAAAACGTCTTCTAGGGTCCCTATAGTCATGCGTGTAATAGAATGGGATCGGGGAATCCCCGAAATAGAGCGGTTGAGAATTTCGGCTATGTTTATTACTACGCACAAGGTATACACACGCACACAAAATATATGTATCTATATATATATATATATATATATATATATATATATATATATATATATATATATATATGCCTGTTCATAGTTCGGGTATGGTAAGTTACTAGCGGAGGGCTGTGCAGCGGTAGGACGAGGAGGGATGAGAAATTCCGTTTCTAAGGGTGACTGGGTCGAGTTAGGTTAGGTTTGGTTGAATTAAAGCGATGAGAGATACCAACCTTCCTGGAGACCTTTATGATTTAAGGTATCTTTTCCTCTTGAACTAAAATACAAGCGAGATTCTACGATTTTTCACATATCTTTGACCATCTTCTTTCCCACGTCAGCCTCCGGCGTATCACATTTTCAGATTCGGATCCCACCACTTGTGCGTTAAAAACACGAGATATAACCAAGCACGATACTCACGGGTCTCACGACTACCGTGTATACTATACCCAGAATGGCGTTTTCTTTCTTTTCAGGATGAAAGGTACAAGAGGATGGTATGTCCGCTGGACCAAAATTAGTCTCGGTGAAAGTAACCTTGGTTTTGAGCGATACCTTCGAGCTTCCGGTAAAAACCCGTGAATTTATCTTGTGTGGATAATACATATCTACCGGTGAATCTGGCTGTGAGGAAATAAAGAGAAAAAAAGGGAAAAAATAGATGAGAGCGAAGAATAAGAGAGACAGAGAGAGATAGAGCGTTGGGTAAGGACGCAAGAGCGAGAGAGCGAGAAAATGGTAGGAAGAATGAATTTTATTCGTCGGGGTATATGGAAATATTTATACCGTTAAAGAAAGAGTCTCGAATGAAAGTGGGTGTTCTGGTCATTCTGTATGCCCATACGTATAGCTAGGTATCCAACGTGCGCCAAAGGGCCATGGGTATTAGAAATGTTGAGATTTCATTCACAGCCACTCGAATGGACCGGTCAACCATTCTAACAACTGTTGTATACAAGATATCCTCCCTCTTCCACGTTATCTCTCGGTATCCTACCCTGTCTTCATTTCTATTGGTTGTGCCAAGAGGGTTGATTAGTAAATTGATCCTCCCATTGGTAGAACACTTCCTGTCGTACGTCATCGTTACGTCATGCGTGGGTGGACGCCATCGTCCAATTTTCAATCATCTCGTCACTCGCCTTCCATTCGATCCATTAATTTCACAAAATTGCACCCCTGATTTATTTTTCAAAATTTTTGAATTTTTTTCAAAATTTTTTTTTCTCAAATTATATCTATTTTTATTGGTACACGCAGATCCTCGGATGCATGCTGATATGTAATATTATGGAAGATTGATTTATTTTATTGATAAAAATATTTTCATTAATTCCATTCTCACAATTGAGATTTTCAGTTATATCGTGAAAACTGCTAAAATCTTTTGTCGTATCATCAGGGGGTTGAATTTGTACTAAATTCCAATTCCGAACCCTTCCCTTCTCCTGGTTGCTCTTCCTACTCTCGTAGGTTCTGCAGCGGGGCTGATACATCGCCTAAAAGCCGTTGTACACAAAAAACCAGTCCGGTGTTAGATGACGGGGCTATCTTGAGATCTAAGTGGGGTTCTCTCGACCAAAATGATCACTACTGATCTTGCCGCCGTCTCATGGTTGCCTACTCAAAACTGATCCTGTACAGGCGTACCTACACTGATTTTATACACAGTAAACATATTGTTACGATCTCGAGAGTCGTTCCAGCATCCCTCGTAAGGATATCGCGCGTTAATAATAATAATAATAAATTCCATTTTTTTTTCAATTTTACGTCATTTTTACGCAGTTTTTCAATTTTCCACACATTTTCGAATAACGTGTTTTCACCACGTTTTGGACTTCCTTTGTGTCTACCTGCTTGTCCTGGACAAGCAAACTCTTTGGAAATTCCAGAGCGTCAAGTATTTTTAAAACTTTCTTGTCACGAGTCGAGATTTTTGTGGTTTCCTGCGACTCTGGTCAGTGTCTTATTTTTTTCTTACATTTCACGCTATACGATACTACCAGCAGATGTTTAATTTCGCGGTGATGAGGAAATTACGTGAGAAATTTACGACTGCTTTGGTTTTTGAGTGGAACGTCAATTCTCTTTTTTTTTTTATAACCACCGTGTATATTCACTCACGGCTATCACGACTGATTTTTTCATATTTTTTTTTTATATGTCATTTGGTGCGCGTTAACGACACTATAATTTACTGAAGTGAGTCGCCACGAAAGGCTTCTTACTGTTTTCATTTCTCTTGACACGAAAAAGTTTGAGATTTCAAATTTATTTCCCACAAAAATAACGTGTATTTCCGTAAATCAATTAAAATGACTATAAAATACTGTCAATAAATAAAAAAGCTTGTGATACGTAAAAATTAAATTTGATACGTTACATAATTTTTGAATAGATAATAATCCTTGATTGTATCATTAAAAAAAATAATTTCTTCTAATCTAAATTGCACTGGAATCTGATTTCGAAAGATTGAAAGTTCTTTCTTTTAAATCCTTTTTATTTCATAGACAAATAAACCCTAATGTACAGACATTTGCGTAAGAATTTCGAACTAATGTGGCCCACATAGATCAGTTCAGTTTTGACAAACCGTCCATCGTATCAATTCAGCTGTCTATCAAAAAGAAATGAAAGCACTTCTGCAATTATACATAAGCCGGCAAGATACATCTATTGAAAGAAGAAAATAATAATGCCCCACTCGAAGTAACTAAGTGGACCAGCCACCTGTACTAATTTTTCAAAAAATAAAATTAATAAAATTTCATACTTGTATTTTCCGATCATTTTTTTTCTACTACTCCCATCTTTTAGAATAATGATCCAAATCACTTAGTTCCTAATATTACAGTGTTTTTTTCTCAAGGCGTTCACAGTCATACCACCTGAAAGGACCAACAGCTGGCATTTGAAATTCCCGCGTAACGGATACGCATGCGACAGAAATAAAATGACTAATTGGTATCGTCGGCGTTATTCCCCTCGCTGTAATTAAAGAGAAGAATGGCTCAGGGAGCAGCGAAACGATAGTCCCACGTACCAATGGGCCAACGGAGTCCAGTAGAGGGAGCAATAGGATTCGAGCAACCACCGTTCTGATTCGGTGGAGGGACCACGTTGGATTCAGTCGCACTCTCACTCGGCACGTCGAATGCGCCGGTCACGTGGCGCGTACACTCCTCCGCTTCAAATTTATATTTCGACAATTCTCTATTTACTGCGATCACTCGTTGTGCATCCCGTACGAGAAAGGATTTCTTGTCCGTAACCGAAACACAGTAAGATTTTAGAAGTGCGCGAGTGCGAAAGTAAACAAAGGATATTTTGAGGTTAGTCGCGCATGGGTTAGACGTAACAAAAAATCTTGGAAGAGAATTTGATAATTTTATAAAATCAGTGGTTAACAGTGTAGGCGGTAGATTACTGTAAAATTATTGTTGTTATTACTTTTTGAAATGACGTGACAAATGCATAGAACCATAATGGAGGCCAGAGTGAGTTCTCGCGAGAGTGTTCAGTGAGTGTCGGGTCTCTTGAAAGTCAATTAATATTAGTAACCAACGGGAAATGCGAATTCGAAAAAGGTTTTTTTTTTATAAAAACAGTGTCTGATTTCACTGAAAACCATTTTTATCGATCTGACAAATTTTAACGTCTAAGAGGCAGACTTTAAAACTTTGTTTCCATCGACCTTTCCAACTGGTACACGATGTCTGTCAGACTCGAATCGTCCGATTGTTAATCGATCATTACGTCAATAAAATAAATACACGTGAGATTCGTTTAGCTTTATACCGTCGTAGAATAACGTGCTACGACCTTCGCGAGGACTGGAGGGTAAAAAGTTGGGACGTCAAGTATGTTCGAACGAGTTTGGACACGCTTGGGATTCGTGTCTACTATAGCGACGCCACGCGGGATTAGCCATTGATTCAGAGTGAAAAACATTGTTGTGACTGCGAACGAAGGTTCCGGATTAAATTACAAGTGTATTCCTGAGACATTATTTTATGACGTACCATAGAAAAAGTGCTGAGTGAGTCGCGTGAAAGTGTTGTATAATTATCCCAGAGAATTTTGGTGCGTCAAGAAAAGTGCTAACGATGAACAGATAAAAACTTGTGAACAGGTAGAGAAAGAAATCAGTTTGACAATTAACCGATGATTAAGCAATTAAATTAACGTAGATTTTAATTTACAAAAATGTCCATCCCCCTATCGTGGCGAAGATGCTCACGACTGTAATAAAGCCCAATTCCGCTTACGTCAGAAATCCCTCAAAAGTATCTACGAAAAATCAACAAACGGAAGTCCGTTTGATATTTTACAAAGAGCAAGAAAAATAACGTAAAGTTTAAAATGGCTTTCGCGTACGCAATTAAAAGGCTATGCTCTCGTAACTCGATACAGTCGCGAAGTTGATACGTATTGCATTTCGTTTTCCCTTGGTCCACAGTCTTCAAGATTGAGATTATTTTTATAATGACAATAATTCAAAGTTACGACATAATTAGCGATTCCAACATACATGCATACACGCACTATTCACGAAAAACGCACCACCCGAAGGTGGCTCTATCGTCAAAATCAAATGGGAGAGGCTAACTTCACGCCGGTACGTTCCTCGTAAATACCCATATATACACACACCCATATATACACACATACATTATATGACGATTTAAAAATAGCTTATCGTAAAAACTTGATTGTTTAGTAGATAACACCTTTTATAGGAATAATTTAAATACTCTTTTTTATAATTACTCCAACCAGCAATTTGATTCGCATTAAACACCTCGTGTGTGAAAGTTACAAACATTTCCACTTATCGCAACGCGATCCCATTTCCTTGTTACTCGGATTGGCTATGCTATTTTTAAAGCATATATTACATGCTTTTATCGCTATTAATATACACGATCCGTTAACGGTGTCCTAACCACGTGAGACTCGAAAATTTTCAAACGTGCGCGTCCACGTGCTAAATATGATCCACTAAATACCTCCGTATAGTTATAGTTATCGTCACCTACATAAATAAATCGTCATTCGTCAGTAATCGGCGCGTCCATATATATATATCTATATATCTATACACCTATAGCCCGTCCAGGAGTAAAATAGCTCACATAGGGGCCACCTTCCTATGACTTATAAGGTTAACGAGTCCCCCGGATAGAATCTTTTACTCGTGGAACGACTTTATGTACTTATGCATCTATATGCAACGATATTACAAACATTAAACCCTATATCACTGATTTATAACAGCTCTAATCATCGCAGTATATTACGTAGGCAGGTATGTGCTTCATATGAACTTTCTTTCGTTGCGTGTTATGTACCTCGATCCCGTAAGGTCCCAACCGTAATATCACCAATTAATTTATCCAGAAAAAAATAATGGAAAGTCATTACCACAGAATTTTGTCGACTTATCTTTTTATACTAGTACAACACCCCCTCGTCGGCCATAATGGCCACGTACGTGTTTCGCGTAAAAAAAAAAAAAATTGAAAAATACCAATTAAATATCGGTCACATAATTTTTTAACCAATAACCGAATACTGAAAAAAACAGCAATTTTTTCAAATCAATGAATTTCGTTCGATAAGCCATAGTAAGTACGCACAAAAAATGAGTCAGGTATTAAATTCAATGCCGCCATTGTGACTAACAAAAAAGAATGAGACACTAATGTCACTACGCTAAGATACTATATCACTATAGATATACGTGATCACATACTATGGTGACCCGACTCCGTGATACGTAGCGCAATAATGATAACAATTCAAAGAAAAACCACACGTATCGCAAAAACAAAATTGGCCCTTCGGGACTAGTGACGTACACGCGTGCGCGAGATAACGAAGTGACGAGGCAATTTTTTCCCAATTAAAAATCGGTCATCTCCGGTTAAATTAGTGCATCCGGATGTTAATAAGATGCCCTCACGAAAGCGTCATAAAACTTATGAGTTACGACTGAACGTAGCCGCACGCCTCTACCTATAACATATATATATTCACCTTGTACGTACCTTACGTACGTATATATACAAACGTGTACAGGAACTTCCTTCTACGTTCAGCTCTCTCTCTCTCTCTCTCTCTCTCTCTCTCTCTCACACTCTTTCTTCTGAACTCCACTTTTCTCTCGAGTCTCATCGTTCCCTCCTTGTCGCTCCGTACATCTCGAAATCTCCTCGGCTGTCTTATCTGTCTCTCTCGCTCTCACCCATAACCTCTCTTCACCGATTCACCCCTCGCACGCTCCTCCCCTTCGTCACAGCCCTTTTCTTTTCCTTCGCCAACCTCTTTTCTTTCTTTCTCCCCCCCCCCCCCCC